CACACACACACACAAACAAACACATGCACACACAAACACACGCAGGAAGGTTGTTAGTGTCACTGCAGCCCACACACCAGCACAAACCAAAATGACTGACAGTCTGTAATAACCTGTAATCTGACCTCATCTGGCAGCACTGGCTCTGACGACCGACTGATGGCCGACTTCGGCTGAGGTTCGTCCAGTGGCTCGTCGAGCTCATTGTCGGTGTAAGTCCCACCCTCGTCTGCTGTGTCGTCATAGTCACTGGTCAGGCGGCTGTCCATGCTAAGGTAGTCTGCGCTCATGGCCGACAGGTAGGACATGCGGTCATCGTGGAGGTCCAGGTCCTCATCTGAACCGTCCAGCTGAGAAGACATGCACCAGGGATTAGACTTTGTCAACAAAGTCTTTGTCAACAAGTCAATTGTGCTTTGTTGTTTCTGACATGGACTCACTTTTCCCTCACAGACCCACACTGCTCGTTCCTGCTGCTCCTGAATGCTGTCTTTCACACTGCCGTACCAGCTGTCGTTGGCAGAGTTCAGGTCGATAGTTGCTGCACAAACACAGAAGGTCAAACTTGTACTAGAGCTGAAGCTCAGGAGTCCATTTAACACAGGTTACAGCATGTTAATAACAGTGAGTCTTAAAGAGTGACTGAGTCCAGTCTGGACCGTACCGGTGAAAAGATGTGAGCAGGTTTTCTTCAACTTGACGGCCTGTTCGTACAGTTTGCGCGCGCTGCGACTGGATCCTGGTATAATGCGGTTCCTCATGGTTTTAACTCCCTGTTTGCTGTCAGGGTTAAGGAAGATGACGATTGGATACCACTGAGTGTAGTTCAGGGTGTCCACAGCTTTGGGGGTCACATCCAGGAGAGCGTGGAGGTCCTGAAAGAACAACAAGAAAGATGAGAGGTTCGGAATAGAGTTTTCTTAGTTTTCTTTTTAGCTCTTCTTCCACTCTCTGCACCTGTTCGATGATTTGTCTGATGGTGTTGAGTCGAACAACTCCAGAGGATTTTTCAGTGCCCGCATCTTTAGGCTCCGTCTCTGCACCAGGAGAAAAAAGAAAAAAACAACAATGAGTGAATTTATTCATTTGACATCAGAGGTCAACTCTACAGAGTTCCACCTGAAGAGCTCTTTTTTTAGTTCTCAGGGTTTTAAGTTTAAATCTTGATCACAGTAAAGGCTCAAGACAAGACAACTCTCCATTGTTTAAATCTCAGAGCTTATAGAATATTTAGATTATTGCTCCCAACAACAAGAAACTGTAGTTTGTAAGTTTGATCCCCAGTCAT